GGGGAGAAGAGCAGGAAGGAGAATCGCTGTCCTGTTCATCCTTGGGAAGTTTCTGAATGCGTTTGATCTGCAGGAGCCCAAATTAAAAACATTCCTCCAGATGGCTCTCTAGCCTCCGTTGGGACACATCCAATATTATCCGTCACCCCCAATATTAAATCAAAATCTCTCTTTCCTGTAACTTACAAGTCCTTTTTCCATGCCCTGCATTCTAAACAAAGAGAAGAGAGACTTTGACTTTCTTCTTTGTGATATATTTCAGGTACTATATTTGAGGGCTGTATACAGGGGTGGGCTTCAAAAATTTTAGCAAGGGATTCTCTGCCGGGTTGCTGGGTGGGTGTGGCCATGGTGGGCGTGGTCTAGTCAGCCCTTCCTGGGCTCTGGAGGCTTTCTTTGAGCTTCCGGGAGGATGAAAACGGCCTTCCCAAGCTCCGGAGGTCCTCTGGGCCTGTTTCCGGCCTTTCCGAACTTCTGGTAGGCCCGTTTTTCGCCCTCTGTGCGCACCCTGCACTTACCTGCATTCAAAATGGGCCGTGTGGGTTTAACTTAGCTTTCCTACCGATTCACAAATATGAGCACGCGTCAGTGGTAGGTTCTTCCTGGTTCGGTCCGGTTCGGCCGAGCCGGTAGTGGTGACGATATGACATCACCGAACCGCTTTTGATAAAGTTTCAAATAAAACACTCGTGATTAAGATCCCAAAAAAGACAACTGGATATTCTTGTTTCCTTTCAAAACATTTAGCTTCTCCAGTTCTCAGAAATCTTGCAGATTGCAGGACAGTTCTCTAATGGCCCGAAGAATGGCAGAAAACTGAAAATAGGAAGATTTTCACAATGGAGGGAGATAAGAAGGGAGCTCCAATCAGCTAATTCAAAAATGATTTAGAGTCTTTCCTACGGGCTCATACTGTCCTATTGACAGTTGCAGTGTCCTGGCGTCCTGTGCAAAGGTGGTATTCAGCCGGTTTAGGCAAATCGATAGCGGTGACTGCAGGTGGGCCCGCCCCCGCCCCGGCATAATGCCATCCTATTTAGCCACGTTTTTGAGGCTGGGAGCCAGTGGTGGGTTTCAAAAATTTTTTAATACCGGTTCTGTGGGCATGGCTTGGTGGGCATGGCTTGGTGAGCATGGCAGGGGAAGGATACTGCAAAATCCCCATTCCCACCCCACTCTAGGGGAAGGATACTGAAATTGCTTCCGGATTTTGTGTTTGCAATGAGAAAAAAAAAAACCCGAAACTTTGATTCTGTTTTTGTAAACCAGACAGGCTTATTGTTATAGAAATGGCTTGTACCTACTGTTGTGTAAAAGCAAAAAGTTGTGGTTGTAATGTTGTTACCTTCGACTATGCCAAAGAGAGTTGTCAGGCAAACTGGTACCAGGCAAACTGGTAGCAGCGGTGGCGGGAGGCTCAGCTCACCCGCCCAGATGTCATCAAAAACGCTTTGTGCCTGCACAGAAGTGCTGCGTGCTCGAAAAGCGCACGCACGCACCTGTGCACTATCGATAGCGAACTGGTAGTGCCGGAATTTGAAACCGGGTGCATCCTTGGGAGACCTGAAAAACCAGGATAAGAACAAAGTTCCTACCATCCCTGTCTAACTGTCCCATTTATTTGTATTTACTTCCTTTGTTTATATTTATGTTCATACCAATACTTCAGTGGTGGGATTCAAATTTTTTTACTACTGGTTCTGTGGGCGTGGCTTGGTGGGCGTGGTGTGGCTTGGAGGGCGTGACAAGGGAAGGATACTGTAAAATCTCCATTCCCACCCCCTCCAGGGGAAGGATACTGCAAAATCCCCATTTCTTCCCGATCAGCTGGGACTCGGGAGACAGAGAATAGATGGGGGCGGGGCCAGAGGTGGTATTTACCGGTTCTCCGAATGACTCAAAATTTCCGCTACCGGTTCTCCAGAACTGGTCAGAACCTGCTGAATACCACCTCTGCTATACTTGTTATCTTGTACATGTTTGACAAAGAAACAAACAAATAAATAAATCATCATGGAGAAAAATCTATGCAAGTGGTTGCTAAATCGAAAACAACTTAATGGCACATAATCATTAATCTAATAAAACCAACAAATAAGTGGAGGCTTATTATCCTTACCTAACACAGCCAAACATCAACCATCTGGGGATGGATGTCTAAACAATTGGAACTTTGTACAGGTTGACTTACGATCACAATTGAGCCCAAAATTTCTACTGCTGAGTGAGACATTTATTGAGTTTTGCCCCACTTAATGACCTTTCTCACCACAGTTAAGTGAATCATTGTAGTTGTTAAATTACTAAAATGGTTGTTAAATTAATCTGGCTTCCCCATTAACTTTGCTTGTCAGACAGTCACAAAAGGGATCACATGATCCTGGGACACTGCAACCATCATAAATACATGCCAGTTGCCAAGTCTCTGAATTTTTGATCATGTGACCATGGGGTTGCTGCAACGGTCATAAGTGTGAAAACAGTCAGTCACTTTTCAGTGCTGTTGTAACTTACAACAGTCACTAAACACTGTTGTAAATCGAGGACTACCTATATTGGATCCGAACCTGAGATGAAAAGTTTTCAGTTTATTGTCTATGGAGATTCTCAGTCATCTAGGCTGTGGTTGATCCAAAGGTGCTTTTTCAAGAGGCAACTGGACTTTCTGGTTTTTCTTTGAAGACGTTTTGCTTCTCATCCAAGAAGCTTCTTCAGCTCTGGCTGGATGGTGGAGAATAGAAGGATTTATACTTCTTGCAGGCAACTGGTCATTTGCATTCTTTTAGAGTCGTTGAGGCCACTTGGAGTTTATCTCCGTGTCCTCAGAGTCACCTGAATAATGCAAATGGGCATGGAGCCTTCTTGGAACTGGGCACCCATTTTGTTAAGTGAATCACTGCAGATGTTAAATTAGTAACACAGGTGTTAAGTGAATCTGGTTTCCCCATTGGCTTTTCTTGTCAGAAGGTTGCAAAAGGTGATCACATGACCCCAGGACACTGCAACTGTCATAAAAATGAGTCAGTTGGCAAGTGTTGAAATGTGAATCACATGACGAGGTTGCTGCAACGATCGTAAGTGTGAAAAATGGTCATAACTTTGCATAATTTTGTATTTATTTTGTCGTTTATGTAATGTACATTCAAAGTGACAAAAGTTAATAGAATAGAATAGAATAGATAGTATAGAATTCTTTATTGGCCAAGTGTGGACACACAAGGAATTTGTCTTACTCTAACTCACTTTTTTCAGTGATGTTGTAACTTTGAATGGTCACTAAATGAACTGTTGTAAGTTGAGGACTACCTGTACAGATCTGCACATGGCTCTCTGCATTGTACTGCAAGTTGCTCAGTTTGTGTCTGGGTGTTTTATCCTTGGGGTGGACAAGCTTCTGCCTTAGTCTATGGAGATTCTCAGTCATCCAGGTCATGGTTGTCCCAAAGATGCTGTTTTCAAGAGGCAACTGGACTTGGTTTTTCTTTTGAAGACGTTTCGCTTCTCATCCAAGAAGCTTCTTCAGCTCTGACTGGATGGTGGGGAATGGAAGGATTTATACTGCCAATTATAAGGAAAGCTGGTCATTTGCATTCTTCTGCCTTAGTGTATTTTTGGGTTTGAAGCAGTGGTGAAATCTAAATTTTTTTACTACCGGTTCTGTGGGCGTACCTTGGTGGGCGTGGTGTGGCTTGGTGGGCGTGGCAGGATACTGCAAAATCTCCATTCCTACCCCACTCCAGGGGAAAGATATCGCAAAATCTCCATTCCCACCCCACTCTGGGGCCAGCCAGAGGTGGTATTTGCCGGTTCTCTGAACTACTAAAAATTTCCGCTACCGGTTCTCCAGGACTTGTCAGAACCTGCTGGATTTCACCCAAGTTTGAAGTAGCACACATGTTGCATTGGCTTCAGTTTATTGCAGAGGTCTTCAAACTGGGCAGCTTTAAGACTTGTGGACTTCAACTCCCAGAATTCTCCAGCCAACTATGCTGGCTGGAGAATTCTGGGAGTTGAAGTCCACAAGTCTTAAAGCTGCTCAGTTTGAAGACCTCTGGTTTATTGATTTCAGCACTGCCCAAGTCCAGGTAGCTGCCAATTATAAGGAAAGCAAATTAAAATATGCAACGTAATAAATTAATAAAGTGGCAAATCCAGACAACCCACACTGAAGCGTATGCAACAAATGCCACCTGAAGAACATTCTAGCAACTGGGGCATTCCTACATCCGGGAATTGCAAGCTTTCCGTTTGCAACACAAACGTGAATATAAACACGTGTTTTCTCTGCGCGCACGTTAACGAACTGCAACACTGAGGGAATTTATTTTATAAAAAAAACAGGTGATGCGTCCGTTGAGCCTCATTTCTTTTAAAGATGCCGTTTGTTTCCTCAATACGACTTTCTTTTACACGGAAAGGCGGCCTCCCGAGGTGGGTTTTAGCGTCAGCCGTGTCCGCATTTTAATTTTCGTTTCCAGTCGCCGCCTGACCTCAAACCTATTGGCAGCCCTCGTTCTTCGCAATGCATTATGGGGACATTCTTCTCTTTTGGCGCCAAGGCCTCCCTTCGCGTGATGCATTGTGGGATTACTCACACTCCTCCTTTGTGCAACTCCTTATAAAAGCCGGATCTTCTTCGCGCGCACTTTTAACGGTTCGCGGCCCCCTGGAGGCTAGCGGAAGTCCTCAGCCACGAGGCCTGTTTGAAATTAGGTGTTTCCTTTCAAGTTAAAAGCCCAAGAGGGTGACTTAAAAAAAAATAATAAAACGCCGCATCTAACGTCGGCAAATATTGAACGGCGCCCCATAAACTGTTCGATAATAACTTTGGAAAGAAATCTTTCGGAGGGGGAGGGGGGAAAACAACAACAAAAAATCTGGAGAGCCGCGCATGCGCCTTACGAAGGGCGGGAAGGCCGCACTCGCCTCAGCTCCCCCCCTCGGGAGTGTGACGTCAAGGGCGCGGAAGGATCCTTGCGCAGGGCAAGTAGAGCGCATGAGTGAACGGCCATTTTGTGGCAGCCGAGAGAGCCGAAGCGGGAGGAGGCATCGCTGCTCCTGTCGTTGCCCGTTGGCCTCGCCCGCTTTTTTTCCCCCTTTCGCTCCCTTTTTTTCCTTCGGTTGGATCGGATCGTTGCCGGTTTTATTTTTTTTAAAATTCCTCTTTTCTTCTCCCCCCTCCGCTCCTCCTCGGGCTGCTTCCCGCCCTTGGCCCTCCGCCTTCTTCTCTCACACATCGACCAACCCCAACCGCAGCCATTGCTGACCTCGCCATGTCTGGTGGCGGCGTGATCCGCGGCCCGGCCGGGAACAACGACTGCCGCATCTACGTGGGCAACCTGCCGCCGGACATCCGCACCAAGGACATCGAGGACGTCTTTTACAAATACGGAGCTATTCGGGACATCGATCTCAAGAACCGCCGAGGGGGGCCGCCCTTCGCCTTCGTCGAGTTTGAAGACCCCAGGTCAGTGGCCGGGACGGGACGGCAAGTGTGGGGGGGAAAAAACCGCCTCAGGGAGATCGTCGCCCTGAAAGGGATAAGAGGGTGCAGCTTCTCTTAGTCCAGGCCGGCGTAAACTCCGTGCCTGTTACTCCAGCTCCCATCATCCTCGCCTTAACACGTGTCGGACGATCGAGGCGATGGGGGAAGGGCGGGACGAGGTTGAAATCGATCGCGGTAAAGCCGCCCCGTTTTGGTGTATGTATGGGCGCCGGGTTGGGATATTGTGGAATAAAATAACATAAAATAACATTTTGGAATAAAAGGCGCGGCCGTATGTCGTCCTCCTGGGGATATCGGGAGGTTTTCAACGGTTCCTGCCCTGTGATGAATCCTGTGCATTCATAATGACGAGTTGGGAAGAGCTGGCCAAACTCCCGAGGTGGTGAAGTGAAAAGAAGGACTGGGGTGGGGGGGCAGCATGATAGTCTTCCAGTATTTGAGGGGGACACAAAGAAGAGGGGGATCAACCTATTCTCCAAAGCACTTAAAGGCAGGACAAGAAACAATGGATGAAAAGAAGGAGAAAAACAACCTAGAATTAAGGAGAAATTTCCTGACAGTTAGAACAATTGATCAGTGGAACAACTTGCCTCCAGAAGTTGTGAATGCTCCAACACTGGAAGTTTTAAAGAAGAGATTGGACAACCATTTGTCTGAAGTGGTGTAGGGTTTCCTGCTTGAGCAAGGGGTTGGACTAGAAGACCTCTAGGTCTTCTAGTCCAACCATGTCATTCTGTTTCATTCCCATGCACGTGGCACCTGCTGCTGTTTCCTAGGTGTCTCTGCACCCCAATCGCACCCAGTTATCCTGAGGAAGGTCAGATTTTTGGTCAAAACATGGGAGGGTTCTTAATGGGGAGAATATTTATGGAAGATCTTCATGAGGCCATGAAGCTGTAAAGGTAGAGGGTTAAAATCCATTTGGAAGTTTTTGTGTTTTGTAGATTGGTTTTCCCTCTGCAGCATTTGTACAGTAACAGGTAAATTCATGGGGTTTTTTTCCAAAAGATAACTGGACTCTTTTTTCTTTTTTTCTTTTTTTTGAAGATGTTAAGATGTTTTGTTTCTCATCCAAGAACTTCTTCCATTCTCAAAAAGCTGCTTGAATGAGAAGCAAAACATGTCTTCAAGGAAAAACAAAAGTCCAGTTGCCTTTTGAGAAAAGCACCTTTGGGACAATGCTATGGCCGGGATGACTGAGGATCTCCCTAGACATTTAACAGGATATACTTTGCAGGATCCGCTTTGCAGAAATTGAGAAAGAGGGATCAAATCCAAGAATGTTGATCTCTGGCCTGTGCAAGGTGAAGTGGAATCCACCAAGTTTTGGGAATGTTTATTTGGAGTCCAAAAGCTTATTTCAAAACAGTGGCATAACTTAATTTATAGTTCTTGTAATGTTGCTTGCAGTTAGGCCACTTTAAAATACTTCATTTTGTAGTTAAGAGTGAAAGCTATGTTGCTAGATTTGGAATAGATATAAAATAAACACAAGTTTTAGTTGAGTGTTGGGCCTTCCTGTTTTTAAATTGATACAGCCTTGCTGCTTATTCTGAGGCACAGCTTCTATAACTTAAGTGCCAACTGCATCTTTATGGGTTCCAATCCATTATTTAGCAGTGAATTTACCCATTGATTTGTGCATTCATTGCTATTAAAGCCAGATTCTAAATTGACATTTGAAGTACGTAGGCTATTTTTTACAAACAAATAAATTCTTTTCAATTAATGAACATTCAGAAGGGAAAAATGAAAACTAGTAAGAGAAAATGGAGAATATAGTAGTAATTGTCTATTCACACTTACTGGGCAGGTAATATTGTAATTCACCTTTGCTCCCCAAAATATATGCATTGAAATTTTTTCCCCTCTTGGAATCTAAAATGTCTAACTACCTATAAGATTGTTTTGTATGTTACTCTTATTGCTTCCCAGTTTAAACAAACAGCATTGCTTTTTATACATTTGCTAAAAAAGTAATGCATTACTTTGTGCAGTTGTGCTGCAATGTCAAGAGTGGAAGAACCTTTGTTGCTTATTTACAGAAAAAAATGTGTACGTGTAATACTGTTGGGACAAAGTCTTCTCTTGTTTTTGTAGATTGAAGACAAAGGCCAACTTCCTGCTCTCGGTGTTCCTGGAGGGCCTGTGATGCAGTTGTCTTTCAGGAATCCTGGATTGAAGCTCAGTGTGGTTTTCTTTTTTTCTCTTCTTGCAGGGATGCAGAAGATGCAGTGTATGGACGGGATGGATATGATTATGATGGGTACCGTCTACGGGTGGAGTTCCCTCGAAGTGGTCGGGGCACTGGCAGAGGAGGAGGAGGCGGTGGAGGTGGTGGGGCCCCAAGGGGCAGATATGGACCCCCATCGAGACGTTCTGAATACAGAGTGATAGTATCAGGTAAGCTTTTCCCCTTGGGCAAAAACAAATTTCTCCAGGATCATTTTGAAAATGATTTGACTAGTTAAAAATTGAATTAAATTGTGGATGGCGTATATTTATTTAAGCTATCTTTCAGTTGTTTTCTGGGTATCTAATTATCTCATGATTTGGCATCTTGAAAATCTGTACATTGTTCCTCATTTCCCCCCAAAATACTAGATCTTCTGGTTTAATTGAGATACTTTAAACTGCTTAAACCACTATATACTTTGCCATTGTGATTATTTGTACTGCAAATAATCACAATGAGATTTTAAAAGTTTATGTTCCTGTTACATGTATGCACTTCACAACTACTAACAAAAAGCAATAATAGAATTAAAATGTATGAAAGAATGTGCAGATAATTGAAGAACATGTAATTTTTAACTGGTGAATTAACTGCATGTCTAGACAAGATGGATTGCTATAAAGAACAATAAAAAAGAAGGCTAAACTAGCATTCTGGCCCCAAAAAATCTACAACTCAAGGGTAGCCCATGAGAAAGCCCTTTTCTTTTACTTCATGCCTTTCAGTCTTTGCATTTTAGTTGGAAGATAAAAAAGAATGCTTTAACTACTGGATTTTGGAGACAGAAGTTGATTTTGGAGGAAATGGTTAAAATATTTTATGCGAAATCTCTTTGGCTTTCAGGATAAGCACCCACATGCTTTAAACTGAGTTGAGAAATACAGTATACAGTTTAAAATAACATAATAAGCGTAAGCAAGTGCTCATTTGCATTCTGACTAGTTATAGTTTCTGTAGACTCTTCAAAGCAGTTCTTAAGTAGCATACATTACCATAATCCTATTAGTTTTTTTAACTAAATGCAAAAAAGAAGAGGAAAAAGACTTAAAAAATATGTAACTTTTAGTCAAAATTAATCTTAAGAATTCTGTTACGTAGGCTATTTTTGAGTCAAAATACCTAACAGTAGGAAGGAGAAATTAAAGTTATAAATTAAAAAACATACAAATTTCTGAATGGTTCTTCAGTTGGAAAAAAAGTGACATAAGAATAATTGAATGCTTGTTCAAATATAGCAAGAGGTGAATTTTAGAGACTATTTTGTAATTGATACAAAGCAAATGTCCTTCCAATATTAGTTTTCCAACCAGAAAACATGTATTATAATTTCTATTGTCAGCTTGTCACTTTTTAAACAACTCATACAGATAGTCCTCAACTTATGGCCCCAATTGGCATTGGAATTTCAGTTGAGCAAATCAGTTGTTAAAAGAAATTGTGACTGCTTTTCTCAACAATTGCAAACTCTACACTCCTGGTTGTCAGTAAGCGATCTTGTAGAACACTACATGGATGAAGCTACAGATAAGGAACATGGGATGCTTCAGGAGAACTGGGAAGACCCTAGAAGATCCAGCACAGGCAGTGTGTAGGTGTCCCTCTACTCAGGAAATCCTAGAAATCCTCATCTCTGGAGACTGCCTGAGAAAGCTGCTTGTTCTAAAGGATTTCAGCTCCATGTCTACTTGGATTGATGAAATCCTCCAGCAGCTTACAGCTTTTTCAGGCAGAGACCAGAGGAAGTTCTCTTGGCAGCCACAAAGAAGATAAATGAGGATCGAGTGCAAATAGGTTGCAAGCAACCAGATCGTGATCACATGACCACGGGGTAGGGCATTTTGCAGCATTTGGATGTTCTTTACAGGCTATTTATTCAAACTTCTTAAGGAAAATGTCAAAAGTCAAAGACTACCTATAATTTGAAAGAATATATAGGTTTTAAACCATGATTAACATGTGAAATGAATAATTTCCAGTGTGCACAGGAAGGACTAAGTTGAGGAATGCCTGTATTTCACTAGCAATAACTTAACAACTGTCTCTTGTCCAGGACTGCCTCCCAGTGGAAGCTGGCAGGATTTAAAGGATCACATGCGTGAAGCAGGTGATGTATGTTATGCTGATGTTTTCCGAGATGGAACTGGTGTCGTGGAGTTTGTTCGGAAAGAAGACATGACCTACGCAGTGCGAAAACTGGATAACACTAAGTTTAGATCTCACGAGGTAGGTTTTTCCACTTAATATTTTAGCAAGAATTGGATTCAGAGGGTTGCATTTGGATGCAGTAAAATCGAAGGTAAGTTTTCTGCTTGTAGTATTTAAAAATGTAGAAAGGGCTAGATGGGTGTCATGCTTAAGTAATGTATGGAGAAGTAATGCAACTTTTCTTGTTAAAAAAAACCTTCAGTCTATCAGCATGCCTGCAAAAGACTGCTTAAAAACTTAGACCTTTCAATCGAAAGTTGTGTCTATTTGATAGGGAGAAACTGCCTACATCCGTGTTAAAGTTGATGGCCCAAGAAGTCCGAGTTACGGAAGATCTCGTTCCCGCAGCCGTAGTCGTAGCAGAAGCCGTAGCCGAAGCAACAGCAGAAGTCGCAGTTATTCCCCGAGACGAAGCAGAGGATCTCCACGCTACTCTCCCCGTCACAGCAGATCACGTTCTCGTACATAAATGATCTTTAATAGTGCTCCTTTTTGTAGAATTTCTCCATGTTGTATGCAGTTTTCTTTTGCCCATAAATAGTCCATTCTTTTAGGGAAAAAAAAGAACAGATCTGAAACTGTTTTACTGAAAATTGGCTAAAGTGTTGAATTGCAGTTTTGTATGATACCCCTAGTGAGTATTTGTTCTTTAACATCAACATTCCCTTGCATCTTTCATAAATTGTATTTTAACATGTCCTAGTCAGGGTTCTTTCTAGCTAGTTTGCTGCCCACTCTCTCTTCCAACTGTGATATTGCTGTATTAAAAATGTCTTTGTTCAGCTATGGTTTATACAAGCTTGGGGTGTTGGGGTTTAAATTGTCTCTTTTGGGGGAGCTTACATTTTTATCTTGCCTTTTCATGTGTCTTTCTGTAGACATATCTGAAGAGATGGATTAAGAATGCTTTGGATTAAAGGATTGTGGAGCACATGTCAATCATTTTAGGATTGTCAAAAGGAGGATTGAGGAGGATCAGATCAAAAATGGAGGCAATGGTATGACTCCAAGTGCTATTGTCACAGATTAAATTGGCAGTATTGACCTTATACAGAAAGAATAGTGAAATAGGCACGCCTGTTCTCTATTGTTCCACTCATTTTCTAGTCAGCTGAAGTTTTCTGACTACCATCATGACAATTGTGGCTTAGCTGGATCCATGCAGGGTGGGGTGGTGGGGGTGTACTGTGTCGGTTGATTACAGGTGTTGCCCGTTTTTATCCTTGTAACATGCAGGTTTTTCAGACATGGAAGTATAATCTCAATACTGCTAAAATCTGCATGTCCTCTTGTGTGACTGATAGAGCATTTTGCTGTTTCATCTTAAATGTAATGAAATGGAAGCAGTGGTGGGGGGAGCACACTGGGGATTTCTTTCCCTCTTCCCCTGCAAGATAAATCAGAAACTGACTCTGATAAACTTCAGTTAATCTTGTCACTTCTAGACTGAGTATAATGAGCTTTTAGTTTAGGCTTGGATAGTTCTAGCAGCAGGATTTGGCAACTTCATGACATTTTTTTTTTCCAACCACAAAACCTGTAATGCACATATAGTAATTGAAATGTTGAAATTATCAGTTATCCTTTGTAAATATTAGAATGTTTCTTCCAAATGATTAACACTGCTAAAATTTGAGCATCACAATACAAAAGTTTGTCTTGGGGAACTGATAGTTATCAATGCCTGTTTTTATTATTCAGCGGCAGACATAACTGATCATTCCCCAGAATCCTATTTTTCATTACGGTATCTAACTTTTTGCCTCCTCTTTTTTGGTTTTGCTGGTTATAAAGGTTTGGATTGGAGAGGGCTCACTGGATCCCAATCCTTGGAGCTGGATCATTGGATTCAAATCATAATGTGGATAGGATAGGGAGGATCAATTTCAAGGATTCATGGAGCGGGATCAGATTACCAGGAACATAGGAGTGGATTCCTGCCCCAACCAAACCGCACTCGTATGGAGTTTTATTCAACTCAATTGGCTATTCCAAAGATTTTTTTTTTCCTATTTTTGACGTTTGGAGCCCATCCATAAGATGCACGATGGAGTTTTCATATTTTTTTTTTGTAAAAGGAGCAAAGCAAGGACCTGGAGAGGTACGCTGGAGCATTCTCCTTGGAAGGATTCAGCACAAGTAGATGGTAAATGTTAAAGGGGAAAAAAGGGGGGGTTGTTTATAAATGTTAAACCAATAAGTCATTTACCTAAATTTAACAACGCAAAGAAATTGGAATCTTTTAAGATTAAGTAGGCTTTCAATTGGCTATTGCCTTTTTCTTTTTGACAAATAAAATTTTATAAAAAAGTGCATGGTGGTTTTGTTGTATTGAATAATGCCCATATATGTTGCTCTTCTGCTATGATGAATTCACTTGTTAAGTTCCTCTGATTCTTGGCCTGGTAATTGACCGGGCTTCATCTTGTGCTCTGTGGCCCATTCATAAGCATTGGAGCACTGGTAGTAGACTGGGCACAAATAAGCCCTGATGAAAAGGTGTTGAGAATGAAGATAATAAACATCCTGGAGCTTACATTGTCAGGCACATGGAAGGAAATACTTGGCTGCTCTAGCAGGATACATAGCCAAGGGTTCATGCAACTTGGTGACTGCAGAATGTGGATGATAAGGTAAGAGCTACAGAATTCTGTATCAAGTAGAACTGGTCGATAAAATGGCTGCTTTAGCTTCACATGGATAATCCTTGAGGTTTACAGTAGTTAACATCTGTAACGTTATCTTAACATTCTTGCAGAGTTTTTAAAGTCCGTTAACAGTTGGCACTTGATTAAAAATTAATGGAATTTCCTAGGGCCGTGATGGCGAACCTATGGCACGCGTGCCATGGGTGGCACGCGGAGTCATGTTGCCTGGCACGCCAGCTCAGCTCTGTCAGCTGATTTTCGGCCCTTTTGGGCCTACCAGAAGAGGGCCTGGGGGGGGGGAAGGCCTGTTTTTCTTTCTCCCTGGCTCCAGATCTTCTCTATGCATCTGGGGAGGGTGAAAACAGCCTTCCCCACCCCCCTCGGAAGCCCAAAACGGCCCATTTCCAAACTTCCGGCCTCCAAGTGGGTGGGGAAGGCTGTTTTTGCCCTCCCCAGATGCATAGAAAGGATCTGGAGTCAGGTGAGAAAGAAAAATGGGCGTGCCAGGAGTGGGGGGGGAAGGGGGGTCACGCTTGCATGTGTGTGGCGGGGCACATAGAATTATGGGTGTGGGCACACGCATGAGCAAACCTACCCCACCCCACCCCACCCCGTCCTGGCACGTGATGGCAAAAAGGTTAGCCATCACTGTCCTAGGGGGTTATTGAAAGTACTTGGTTAGGGTCCATCCCTGACAAGCCGTGTTTTCCATCTTGGTGCCATATTAGTAAACTCCATTGATGTTTTTATAAAAAAAAACTTCTCCAACTGTAGCATGGAAATGGTTTTCTATTGCTGCTTTTCTAATGCAATTTACAGCTCTAGTTTTCCCAGGCTGCCTAGAGTTACTGGGAATTGGGTAGCATATAAATCTAATACAGTGGTACCTCTGTACTTATCGTTAATTGGTTCCGGGTGGCATGATGAGTACCAAACATTTTCCCCATAAAGGAATAATGTAGTGAGTCACAAGGCAGCTGACACCAACAGGTTCTCGGTTGTGTGTCGAACATCAAATGAGTACCAGGACAGATTTTTCATGTCAAAATGTGTTCAGTGCCAAAAATTTGATGAGTTTCAAAGCAATTGTACCACAATAAATTATCTCCTATCAAAGATCTTAGCAAGCTGGCTGTACTTAGCTTCCAACCCCAGAAAACACCATGGTGTAAAATAGTCTAGGATTCATTATGTCCCTGCGGAAACAAGGACGTGGATCTCTGACATGCTTCTTAAAGGTATGATAGAATTGATTTTGCACTTGCATAAATTATTTCAGGGTTATATGCTGTTTCTATATTAGATATTGAGGCTATCTAGATCCTCAAAAAAGGTAAAATAACAGTCCTTGCAGAGAAGATGTTAAAGCCCGACCAACTGTAAAAAGTACTGGTCAGTTGACAAGTGTTTTAAGTCTAGGATTTTGAGGGGGGGGGAAATAAGTTGGTTATAACTATACGTATACAGATAGTTCTGGACTTGCAGCCATTTGTTTAGTGACCAAAGTTAAAATGGCACTGAAAAATATGACTAGTCCTCCGATTTATTGACCGGTACATTGTCTTCATGGTCACATGATGAAGATTAAGGAGCTTGGTAACCAGCGTGTTTGCTGTGCCCAGGTCATATGATCACAGCATGCAACTTTCCCAACCAGCCTCCGACAAAGTCATGGAGGAAGTGGGATTCATTTAACAAATGCAGTGATTTGCTTAACCATGGCAGAAATGGTCATAAAATTGGGCTCACTCACTCCTGTTAATTGTAAATCGAGAACTACTGTAGCTTACATTTCAGATCCGTGTTCTAGTTAATGAGGATCATCAGATGCTGGTCAAAGTTGGTTACTGTTAAAGTGATTTAAATATTAGGTGTTCTAAAAGATTGAAGAAAGACTAAAAATGCCTCAAAATAGAGAATGGAAGCAACAAGATATTTGAAGTGTTAAAAGTATTGACTGAGTCTCCTTAGGCAGATCCAAAATACTTTAGAATGACACTAAATTCTTCAGCAGCCCTTGATATATTATTTTCCCTATTAGGTTTTCTGTTTAATTATATGTATTGAGATTGAAAATTGGGTAGGATCCCTATTCATGAATCCTACTGGTTACTGTTCTGGTCTATTAAATTTACGGCCAGACGTATTAAGAGTTGACAAGGAAGAACACATCTCACGTTTATGGTGTTGCATAGGTAGTCCTCATTTAGTAACTACAATTTGGACTGACATTAAGTGAAGGCACTAGGTGAAACTGCAACTACTTAACAACCTTCGGTTTCACAGGCTCAGAAGACCAAACAATTTGATGGTCAAAAATAGGATTAATTTTTACTTTCTTTTATCACTGTCATATAACTGAACAGTCACTAAATGAGGCAGTTGTTTTTTGGTATAATTTTATCAATGCAGCAGTTGTTAAATGTGGCCAATCTATACTGAAGGGATCATGTTTCCCCCTGGAACATTACTTGAAATGTTGATAGCTTCAAATTCCTCATATAAATCACTTGCTTTACAGTCTTAAACTTCCTCGCAAAATTTGAAAACCAGCCTTGGAGTAACTTGCGTAAAAAGGCTGCAGAGCTGAATAGTAACATTCTAGTGAAAACATCTCTTGCTTGTTTACTGAAGGTTAAAGAAGCAGAATAACGAGATAAGCCCTTAGATGTAGCAGGGGAAAGTTGGTAAATCAGACCTGTAATTAGATTGTGATTTGTTTTTGTTAACACCTAGTTCTGTAGCTTCAGGCTAAAGGTTTTCAGCGTATATAAGCTCTGGGGCGAGCAACTAGGCTGGCGCTGATAATGATAGCTTTGTATAATTGCCCTGTGGTCACATTACTAAGTTTGGTGGAGTTATTTTTCTTCTTTTTTTGTATATGCACCTGTGCAATGGAAAAATAGGACTTCTGAGGCCAAGTAAATTCTAGACCAGGCGTGTCTTACCTGCGGCCCAAGGGCTGCGTGCAGTCCTGGGCAGCTAGTAATGCAGCCCCACAAGACCATAAAAATATATGCTGAACTTGGTTATTTATATGCACTGTATTATATATATTTGATATGTGCGCCAAGACTATTCCTCTTCACTGAGTGTGGCCCAGGCAAGCCAAAAGGTTGGACACTCCTGCTCCAGACTAACCTAGCCTAGAATATGGAGCACTACTGGGGAGGTATATGTTTTCATTATATTCTCTTTTAATCATATATTGCGTAGATCAAAAGGTTCATGAAGTGTTCGAGGCAGCATGGTGAACTCTTGTGTGCTGTAGTTTTTAAGTTAACGGAGGATAATTATCAAGTAAATCTGCTTTATTGCAGAGTCATTTGTCAATGAGATGGGCAGCATACAAATTTATTAAATAAATAGGAATATGGACCTCTGTTGAAGTGTGTTAAATGGCCTAACGTGCCTTGGAGGGGAAAATGTTTCAGACCTCAAATGATAAATTAGACTAAAGATCTAATTTTAGGAAAAACACAGTTTTCCCAGTTCTGGGCTCAGTTTTATAATACTCTAGAGTGCTAAAATGGAGGAAGAAGTTGGCAAAAGTTTTCTCATTTCAAATATAATCTGGGAGGGGGAAAATCTATAAACTTTGACTTATACGGAACCTTGACTAATTTGTTTTTAAAAAGGCATTAAAAATTGCTATAGGCATTCCTGAAATATATCAACAGGAAATAGCAGTGTTATCTTTATGAGGAAACTCCTGTTAATGTCATGTGTGTATTTTTCTTAAAATTGGGCATGGTTCCTCAATCTGGTTTCTTTCCACAGGGTGGCCACTGAGGGACCACTGTCAAGGGAATGCCCAATCTGGCCATTTCCTCCACATGAGCATTTCGGCCCTTATCACATGGTAACTACATGGAATAACACAAGATGGCTGTCTCGTTTCTCTAGCTGCTTCTCCCTTCTCATCCAGCCACTGGATGAAAAGAAAGCAAGAAAGTCCTGATTATTATTATTTTTTTAATTGGCAGAAAAACAAGCACGCAAGTTAGAAATTCTCAAACCTGCTTAAAGTGGGAAATTTTCCAGCCCATATATTGGCTGCTAGTAAACATTTCCATGTATTTCCCTTTAATTGCTGCTGTTCATTCCATGTTAGCTGAATATTCATCAAACTTTTGCTGATTTTCCTTGCCATCCTTCCAATGCGGTGCAGCTTATATAAAATGAGGATCCCTGAACTGGGAATTGCTGGTATTAGAATCTCCTCTTCATAAGCAAAACTGCATTTCATGGTTTCCTTTCTTCATAACTGCTGTACCTGCACTATGATATGGTAATTAGTTTATAGGATCATGTGAGGAGAAACAATGATTCGCCATCCATGCATATGGCATTTGATTTGGTGAAATGTACACTAGAACAATCTCTTGTTTTCAAATCACTTGCAGCATAAAATGTGAAGTGACAGAAAAAGGAGTGATGGGCAGATCACTATAGTATATGAGCTATAGCAAATATTTCCCAGATTCTTTTTTCACGTATTATGGAAAGAGCTTCCTGTGGTTTATTTCTGCTATGCACCTCCATCTGTAATCCTCTGGATTGCCTTACATCCTCAAATGTTCCCGTCTTTTGCCTTGCTTATTGGAGATTTCCTGACATCTGGCTTTGCAATGCTCCTTCCATCTCTGCAGGATCGGTTACCCTCAGTTTTTGGGGTTGTGGTGCATTATATGAGTCACTCCTGAATTATCCAAACTGGATGTTGAATTTTTTTTAGCGGAAATAAGTTTTCTCTGTCACATCACAAATGCATTTATTGAGATGTCCAGAAGAAAATTGACTAAACAGTTCAGCTAAAGTACCTGGATTAGATGTTAGGTAGGCAGATTATACCAGCAAGAGTTAACAGAATATATGTGTTCATCTGACAAGATAACAACCCTAACCCCTCAGATTTTTGAGGTAAGAAGGTAATCTTGCTATAAAGATGTTTTTAACAGTGTTGGGAGGGGAATCAGAATTCAGTAATGGGTTGTGATTCCTAGCATGTGAAATAGATAGGCAGGCTAGATTTACGTGGACTTCTGGATGCCTATTGTTAATCTGTTTAACCTGCTGTTTTTTCCTCTCCCTCCCCCCCATGTTACCGTTCAGAAAACTTTGAAAATAACCAGGAAAAGCAGGAAATGAAAGCTGAGCTCCCTGGCTGCTCTTAAGATTGCATATCATTCCTGTTAACTGATGACTGGTGGTGCATGGAGATGTGGACCTCTGCTAGTAGATGATTTGCACTCGGAGCCAGGAAAGGATTCCTTGACTGCCCAAAAGACAAACCTTCCACCTTTACATTCCCTTGCAGAACGGTTCACCCGTGCAGGAGGAAGAGGAGGAGCCCAAGTTTTTATTGGCGGGAAACATTAGGGTAATATTTCTGCAGCAGCACTGCCATCGTATTTTCAAGAAACCCATCTCCTCCCAAGGGAAGGTTATGTAGGCATTGCGATAGTTAAAAGGACTGTAACTCTTGGCCTTTGCTGGACAGAAGATGGGGTTGGGGGCCTCAGCTGTGTTAATGAATATCTTGAAATGCAGCCCCCCCCCAACATCTGTAGAGAATGATGATTGTGGTTGGTAGTTTGTTTTGTGGGTCAGGCTAGGATGATCTACAGGCCAGGTGCCCATCAACGTAAGCTCTAAATACACTGGTACCGTAATGGGCTGTGCACATCTCCACTTATAGCATCTAGCAACTGTTCAAACCATTAACCTGATGTGCAGCTCTGCTCAACATCTGGAGAGCATTAAATTCCAGTGGAACGAGAGAGGTATGTGCCAGTGGACAAGCTCTGCTGGAATCCATCAGCCTTCACCGTCCATTTAAGGTAAAGCCTGCTTTGAGTTTGACTTCTAAGGACTTAAAGAGTCTTGTCCGTGTTTTGACTTTTAAAATCTAGCCTGCGGACTTCACACTCATTTCTTAAGCTCCCATCCCAAGTGTGAAGGAAGCTTGAGCCTGCTTAGCTTCTGAGCCGGTGAAAACCAGATGTGGGACACCTTCTAATTAAAAAGACCAAACAACTTGGGAATGTAACGAAACGTTAGCTTCTAGCATAATTCTTATTTAACCAAATGCTAAAGAGTGTCACGCATAAATAGGTCATAGGAGTTGTTGGGTGGCTGTAATACAGCAGGTGGAAGTGAATCCAACTGCAAAAAGGGATCACAGTGAGCTAAGTTGGTAGAGAAAATGTGAGGGGGGGAGAGACAAGTCCCCCAGTTTGCTTTTGGTGAATGGTTTTAAGGCTCGAATGAGGATTCCTTTTTTGTAAATAAACATGCCTTTCAATAATTTTTGTAGGAGTCCCGTGACAGGGTCTCGAAATCCCAGCTTTGCCCAGAAATTGCCTGTCTGTGAGAATTTTCCATTCTGCAAAGCTTATCCCCTCTTGCCTTCCATCATTCTTCTCGTCTGTTCTCAAGAAAATTGGAAAAATGTGGTACACCATAACTGTGAAGGCTCCGTGCATGAGGGAGTCCCAAAGGTTCTACAAGAAGTGGATGAAGTTGGGGCTCCAGACACTAAACCCAAGTTCAAATGGTTTCTTTCCGTTTAACAGTCAATGGACTGTTGTGTAGATCAAGGCCTGAATATAGAACGGCTTTTAAATATATGGTATTTTAAAAATATTTTAATTTAAGGTCATGCTGGTGCCCCAGTCTTCTTACAAGCAACACTGCGGCCTTTTTAGGAACCTAATTTTACTCTCTTTATTTTTCCTTTTTGGGATATAAACTGGAGACATCTCTAGAAAATTATAACTACTTAAGATAGGAAGGCATTTTCTGACCAGTGCCTTTGAAAAATCTTCTTGCCTGTTGTATTTTCCCCCTTAACATTCAGATTTTAGAGCGACTGAAAAGCAGAGGTGGAGAAATTGGAAAGTACAGAGAGGGGTGTAATTTTGGCTGTGAAGTAGGGATGTAGCCTTGCATATTTAAGATATGGAAAATATCCCGTTTTTTGCATAGTTAGTTGGACTAACTTTAGCGGTTTCTGAATTTTAGTAGTTTTTTTTTTAAGTTGATTGGAGACCTGTACTAGAGTAGAATAATCCCAGTAGGCATGTGTCAAGGGCTTCTAAAAAAATACCATTTGAAGGAAGCTTTTACTGGATCCTCTCTACTGTATTAAAGTTTAAGCTTGATATTTTTCTTAAATCTTTTATCCTGCCTACAACTTTGATTTAGCCTTAGAGAAATCACCTATTTCCTTTTCTCAATTCTTTGACATCCTCACTTAAACATTTTCCTGTAATGTGCAGCTTGAATTATTGACAAGTCTTTTTGTACATTGTTTGAGCCGAGGAGAGGTGTCAAACTCCTCGGCTCAAAACATGTACAAAATGACTTCTCTTTTTGTACATGGAAGAGAACTGAGCAAATAGATGAGTGCCTGCCCACAAAATTATATCTAGTATGATACACTGGAATTGGAAATAAGTCAGTATCAGTTCCTCTGTTATCTTTAGCCTGGCCAATCTGTAAATTAAATTGCAGAATAGGACTGTCAGTTAATGGCCACAAACACATTACAGAACAAATGTTTCTCAAAAAAGCCTCACAAGTAGTGTCAACAATAAAGAATAGGTTCATTTAGAATTATTGTGCCTGGTTTGTGCTAGGTTTTTATACTTCCAGGGGTGTATTAGGTACACAATCTCAATGTATCTAATGCAGAATGGTGGCATTTCAAAATTGCTTTACTGTAGCAGATGATTCTGCTGCTGCTCTTAAGGAGCATAAATTTGTAACATCAGAGGAAGGCACATGTTTGTGTGACTTTCAAAACCAGTGTGCAAGAGATTATTTTAAGCCTCCACAAATTCAAAAGAGAACAGATTCAGAAAAATACCTTCCCACCCAGTTCTCAAACCTGGAATAAGCCCTTTTGTGCCGCTAAGTATGCTGTATCTTTAGAGATTTTTGATTGTAAGCCTCATGGCTGAAATGCATAAATAAAATTGCTGTTTATTATCATAAGAGCATCTGAACTTTCTCCATCCTTGCCTTTGGTGTGTTTCTTTCCCTCTGTGATTGCAGTAATTTTCAGACCATTCACAGAAACGACACTGAATGAATCATAACTTTTGTCCTACAGAATTGAGTTTGTGAATTTTAACTAGAGTGACTGCCAGCAGGAAGCCAATTCCCAATATGAGCTTTGATTGTTTTTCTATTAGGGTAGGGGTGTCCAACCTTGGCAGCTTTAAGACCGGTGGACTTCAGCTCCCGGAATTTCCCAGCCAGCATGATTGGGTGGTGGTGGTGGGAAGACCACATGACCCCGGGACACTGCAACCGTCATAAATACGAGTCAGATGCCAAAAATGTCTGAATTTTGATTCTGTGACCACAGGGAATGCAGCAACAGTTGTGTGAAAAATTGTTATAAGCACTTTTTTTCAGTGCCGCTGTAACCTTGGTCACTAAAGGAATGGTTGGAAGTTGAGGACTACAACCATTCTTTCCCCTTGAAAAACTAGGAAGTCCACCCCTAAGAGTAAAAATTCTTCAATAAGTAATCAGCTAAAACACAAATAGTTTGAAGGCCCAGGCTTCAGTTCCTGATTCTGCCTGGTAGCACAATTAACGGAATTAGAGCTAATGGGAAGCTTCTGAAATGATGTGAAATGGCTATCGGCCAGAACAAACAATATTGGGCTAAAATGTGAAGTTATGTAATATTTATTTGTTGAATAAGCCATCACTGGCTTGGATAAGCCTGGATAGCTCAACAGACAGAAGCACTGTAATTTAACACCAGCTGTCTGCAATTAAAGTAAGATTGAATCTCGCCAAGGCTCAAGGTTGACTCAGCCTTCCATCCTTTCTAAGGTAGGTAAATTGAGGACCCAGTTTGTGGGGGCAATAAACTGACTTTGTATAAAAATACACAAAAGTATGAAGGCTATTTAGCTTAACGCACTGTAAACCGCCCTGAGTCTCCGGAGAAGGGCGGCATATATATCAAATTAAAAAAAAAACTGATTGGGGTCATACACCAAAGACATAAACCAGATACAACGTGGGAGGGCAATGGTGGTGGCACTTAAATGGGGCCAAAATTTTCTACTCATTCTATTTATTTTGGGTGCAATGGTCGGGGGGGTGGGGGGCATATGGAGCAAAGGAAGTTTAGATAAACTATTTTTTAATCTGTTAAAAATAGTCCAAGTATGGGAAAGTGGCTTGGTTTGTGGAAACTTAAATTGAGGCGAATCAAGAAAAGACTACAACCTGAAGAGTTGCTGAGAAGGATTCTCATGGCTTTTGGCAGATAAAACTCCCAAGATCAGAGCTCAGTTGGACTGCAGTAGAAGCTGGTCATTGCCAAAGTACGGTAGTATAGAATAACAAGAGTTGGAAGGGACCTTGGAGGTCTTCTAGTCCAACCCCCTGCTTAGGCAGGAAACCCTCTACTTCAGACAAATGGTTATCCAACATCATCTTAAAACTTCCAGTGTTGGAGCATTCACAACTTCTGGAGGCAAGTTGTTCCACTGATTTGAGCCTGCATGTTCTGGCAAATAGGACTCTAGTATAATTTCTTCCACTTCTCTGCCGAGTCCCTGATCCTTGTAGCTGGTCAAGACTTTTTGTAATGTGAAAGGAGTTGGATCTGAGCTTTCAAAACATTTTGGGTCTATCGCTTCTGAAGGAGCCCTGCTGAAGAAGCTACTGCTTTGATCCAACTCCTTTGGACAACTTTAGACCAGTTTCTTAAATCTCATTTTTAGAAAAGGTGATAAAAGTGATGCCACAACTTCAGAGGACCATAGAAGCAGCAGATCATCTGGAGCGGTGGCAGCTGGTTTTCAGGCCAACGCTCAACATAGAGTCGTGAACCTCTTGGTTAGCTTTAGAGAGACGAGATCTGGGGGAATAGCATCCTGGAGAATTTTTGAGTTCTTAAGTTTCTTTGAAGCCGACTTCTAAGCAACTTTCAACACTATCAACCATGGTACCTTTGTAAACCACCTCTGGGATCGAAATTCTTTTTGTGGCCCGCCAGCGGCCAGCAGAGCTGGCAGCAGATTCGGACAGTGAAGAGGTTGGGGAGGAACGTGGGCCAGTCCTGGAGTCTGGGGAAGGTTGGGACGAGGGCTCTGAGTCAATTGGTCCCACATCAGTGGTGGGTTTCAAAACTTTTTACTATCGGATCTGTGGGTGTGGCATTGCTTGATGGGCGTGACTTGGTGGGCATGGCTGGGGAAGGATACTGTAAAATCACCATTCCCTCCCCAATCCAGGGGAAGGTTAGTGCAAAATCCCCATTTCCTCCCGATCAACTGGGACTTGGGATGCAGAGAGTTAGATGGGGATGGGGCCAATCAGCATTTTTACTACTGGTTCTCTGAACTACTCAAAATTTCCATTACCGGTTCTCCAGAACTGGTCAGAACCTGCTGAAACCCACCTCTGTCCCACATGCAATCAAACAGCTGATGATCCTTTTTCAAGCCCTATATGGTCTCAGACCTAGTTTATTTTATTTATTAAGAAAATGTACATGACCACTCAACTCATTCGTGGTAACTCTAAGGCTACAGTTACCTGGCTTCCTATATTCACCTACTCATCTAACCAGATCTAATAGGGTCAACTTTCTTCTCATCTGATGGGACCTAGGAAATGGGCATTTTAAAAAGCGACTCCTGAGCTTTGGAACTGTCTCCCTATCGAGATCCATCATCTACCTCTTCCTTCCTGGGTTTCAGGTGAGCAGGGAACACCTGTTCCATCCATGCCAAGGGGCAGTCATGCTTTGAATGTTGGGCTACATTGGCAGTCGCATGACTTTGGTTTTTTTTTTTTTAAGTATCCTTTGAGACCCAACATCACCTAACATCAAAAACATCATCAAAAAAGCTCAAAGAACGTTTTTTCTGCCCAAACTCAGAAAGCTCAAATTGCCTAAAGAGCTGCTGATTCAGTTCCACCGAGGAATTATTGAGTCTGTCATCTGCACCTCCATAACTGTCTGGTTAAGCTCTGCAACCCAACAAGACAGACACAGACTTCAGAGGATAATTAGAACTGCAGAAAAAACAATGGTTACCAACCTGCCTTCCATTGAGGACCTCTATACTGCACGAGTCAAAAAGAGGGCATAGCAACTTCTATGCTCAAAAAGACACTATAGAGCACTGCACACAAGAACAACTAGACACAAGAACAGTTTTTTCCCGAATGCCATCACTCTGCTTAACAACTAATTCCCACAACACTGTCAAACTATTCACTAAGACTGTATTACTATTCTTCTTCTCTTCCTTACTAGTATCTATCTCTTCCCACTTATTACTATAACCATGTTGCTTGTATCTTTCAATTCTATTGTTTTTGTTTCCTAGTACAATGTGATAGCTTATTAGTAACCTTGACTATCACGAAGTGTTGTATCTTTTTATTCTTGATGAATGTATTTTATTCTCCTTATGTACACTGAGAGTTTATGCACCGAAGACAAATTCCTTGTGTGTCCAATCACACCTGGCCAATAAAGAATTCTATTCTATTCTACCCTACACTACACTACCCTACCTTACTCTATTCTATTCTATCCTACCCTACACTACCCTACCTTACTCCTATTCTATTCTATTCTATTCTATTCTATTCTATTCTATTCTATTCTCTATTCTATTCTATTCTCTATTCTATTCTATTCTATTCTATTCTATTCTATTCTATTCTATTCTATTCTACTCTACCCTACCCTACCCTACCCTACCCTACCCTACCCTACCCTACCCTACCCTATTCTATTCTACCCTACCCTACCCTACCCTACCCTACCCTACCTTACTCTGTTCTATTCTACCCTACCCTACCCTACCTTACTCCTATTCTATTCTATTCTACCCTACCCTACTCTACTCTATGATGCTGTTGAGATTTTTGTTTTTCTCAGTGGGATTATTTTTATTTCGGGTTTTAAAAAATTACTTGGGATTGCTAGTTGCTCAGAAAGTTTGGGAATGGGCAGCGTACTAATACATATGTAAGTAAATAAAGGATTCTGACCCATTTGAAAAGTTCATTGCAGGAACTAGAAGAGAATAGTTAGGTACATGTCCAACGAAGGAAGGCTAGCTACATATGCAGCAAAAGAGGCCATGTCTTTCCTTTTTTGTCTTCGGCTTCCATCCGGCAAGCTTAACCTTAAAGATCGAATATTGTTCTATTTTTTGTGTGTGTGTTTTAAACTTTTGGGCTGTTTTCACACCAATAATTCAAACTTTAGTGCATCGTAACCTCGTAAAATGTCTGCTGCTCCCTTTCCCTTCTCTGTTGGCAGGCTCAGCAGCTTAGATTTATGTTATTTCCCGATTCTAGCAATTGGCTTCAAACCAGCCCCTTCACCTCTACTGTATTGGGTAGAACACTTGACTCATCATGCAGCATGCTTTTACGGTGAAAGATGAACATTTATGGTGGTGTGAATTCTATATGATTACTAACACATGTTCCTGAAAATTATTTGTTTTATAAAAAATATTGCAGTTGAAAAACCAGACTTTCTGATACTGGAAAAAGTAATTTCATATCCACGTAGGGTTAAGTGCATTCATTTTTGCAAGTTTTTCCTTGCAATTTCTATTGCAGATGTCAAGTTAAACAGCTACCTTGTCCTTTCCAGCTGCGCACATGTCTCCTTTGCCTGTTCATAGCTGATAAATCTAAATGAAGGTGACTTTTAACATATTTCAATTATTTTGAATATGCCCCCCCTCTCTCTTTGGGGAAGGTCTATCCGCTCCGTTCTGCTGCGATCAGTTTTCTGAATGGAAACCGTGGCCTGCTATAGCCACCTAGTGAGAAAAAATGGAAAATGCAGATTATGTTATCTGTGTAGAATCTTCCAAGAACCAGGTTGAACTTCTCTCCTACAGCAGCAGCTAGTTTTCTTCAAGTATAAACCATTCCAGACTCCCACCTTCAGGGAGAATGTCAGAAGGAAAGAGCATGGGATTTGG